CTGCTCAAAAAGAAAAGAAGTATAGGAGAAAATGTCATAAATGTGGTAAATACATAAAATACGGCACAAGTGAAAAAAATGATGCACATAATTGCTATAAATTTGCAACAGAAGGTGCGACAACTAATGTTTGATAGATATTAAATTTGTTTGATATATTTTCAAAAAAGAACTATATACTAATTAATTAGTTTGTTTGATGTTTTAAATAAAATGATGTCGTTCTAGATATTAAGTTCTTATTGAATCATTTTACCCTTATATTTTTGGTGCAAACGATTTGATTCAAATATGAGTTATAAAGTAGTTGATATGATTGTTTGAATGTTTAAATAAAGTAATATTCTAAATGGTAAGATCTTTCTGAATCTTTTTATATTTATAATTTTGATGCAAAAATGTTGATACAAAGTTATAGATATAGTTTTTTTTATTAAGATCTGAAATTTGATTTACAAAAATAAACAATTTTGCTTCACTAATTTATGAATGAAATATTTTAATAAAATTTTTTTGATAGTTTGATTAAAATGATGTTCAAATTATCAAGTTCTTTTTGATTATTTATATATAAATATTTTTTTAGTGCAAAATTTTTGATCCAAAACATTATTTATAAATTTTTAATAAAATTAAATGATGTAATAAATGATAATTTCTTTTTGAATCTCTATCTTTTTTTATTCAAAAACTTTGATAAAAAAAGTAGTTATTTAACATAAAATTTATTAAAGAATAAAAAAATATTAGTGGATTCAAAACAATTTTGGTTCATGACTTTATACATGATATTTTTTTTATATAATGTAAGTAATTTAATTTATAAAATCATAATAAAAGTTTGAAACAATGAGATTGCATCATCAAACTATAAATAAAATATGGTTAAAAAATATTGTGACAACTGTCAAATTTCGGTCAAGTCAAAGTCAACAAGTCAAACCGTTTGACTCAATTTTCCCTTGGGTACTAGAATTTACATTATGAAATTTCTACATAACTCTCTATTCTAATGAGAGATCATAAATCAAAAAGTGCGAACATGTAGATCTCCTTAACCTAAAACTATGGTACGTGGCTAGCCAAACCAATAAAACAATGTTGCATACTCATCGGGAGTGTGTAAGATCCTAAAACAAGGCTTAACATGGTTTACAAACCTTGCCTTGCGAAGCCAGACACTCACAAATGCCACACTTGAAACCTCTCTCAATTGTTTTCACTCTATCTCTCTCTATTTGAAATCTCTCTAAGTATGTGAAACCTCTCCCAAAAGTCTCTTTGTATGAGAAATCTCTCCAAGAATATCAAATCTCTCCCAAATCTCTCCAAGTATGTGAAATCCCTCTCAAATATCTCTCTGTATGAGAAATCTCTCCAAGAATGTCAAATCTCTCCCTAATCTCTCCAAGTACGTGAAATCTCTCTCAAATATCTCTCTGTATGAGAGATCTCTCCAAGAATGTCAAATCTCTCCCTAATCTCTCCAAGTATGTGAAATCTCTCGCAAAAATCTCCTTGTATGAGAAATCTCTCCAAGAATATCAAATCTCTCCCAAATCTCTCCAAGTGTGAGAAATCTCTCCCAAATCTCTCTCAAAAGTTTCCCGTAACTTTTTGGAATCATTCGGGTCATTCCGACCCTTAACCGGGTTAAAAACGGCTTAAAACGGGGTAAAAACGAGAAAACGGGACCTTAGGAACCGAAACCCTTCTTAAGGAGCCGAAGCTCCTTAAGGCCGAGACTAGGAACCGAAAAGGCCCCAGGACCGAACCGAGCCCCTGTAGCTGAGACCGAGTCTCGGTCTCTGTCGCCTCCTCTCGGTCGCTTCTCACTCTCTGTCGCTTCCTCTCCGCCTCTCTGTCTCTACTCCGCCTCTCTGTCTCTACACGCCTCTCGGTCTCTGTTCTCGCTTCTCTCCTCTCTTCTCTTCTCTTCTTTCGGTCTCTATCCTCCCCTCTCGGTTCCTTCTCTCCCTCTTCTCCCCTCTCGGTTTCTACCTTCCTCTCTCTCGGTTCAGCATCAGAAGACCGAACCTCGGCCAAATTTCGGGATTTTGTCACTTTTAGCCCATTTTTGATATTTTTAACATTTTAAGCCCGTTTTTCGTGATTTTAAAGCGGGATTTTCTCCAGAAATTATATTTTAACATAATAAACTCTAAATATTCATAATTTAAACATATTTTGATGAAAATCATTATCTAAATAATAAAAATCAAATGGGTGAATTATTAAAGGTGGAGTGTTGACTTTGTCTTATCCAATGTCACAAGCAACCACCCCACACCCACTCTTTGACTAACCACACCTCCCCACCTTACCTAGGTCACTTCAATGTACCTTACACTCAATTTACACTCATTCCCACGTTTTTAGAGCTGGAACAAACATCCTCTCTCCTCATTTCTCTCATTTGCTCTCATTTCACTAAGTATCAAACACCACTTTTCTCTCAAACTTTTTCCACTCCAATTTCGAGATTCAAGGCTGATTTTCAAGTGTTCTTCCACTCTTAGTAAGTATAATTCATCCTCCTTATGATTATTTCACTTCATTCTACTCAAATCATGGATATCTTACACAAACTCCATCATATTTGCGTTAGAGCTTCGAATCTTCAAGTGATTCTTCAAGTGTTCTTGGGTTGAACACTTCTCTTCTTCAACACTTATCTACTGAAATCACTCAAGGTGAGTTCATACCCCTACATTTTCATGTTTTCTCAAGTTTTCAGGGGGGGAATACAAGTTAAAACACCAAGAACATAACCAAATTTTCCTAACAGCCTTCATCAGAAAAGTTCAACTCCATTCACAGACTATTTTGGGCATCTTAAGCATTTTTGTTTTCAAAACTGTACAAGGTGCAAATAGGTCAAGTTTTTAGCTTTAAAATGACTACTTGCACATCTCCATACGATTTTTCTACAATTTATGGTGATTTTTACAAAACTGCCTATCATTTCAAACAACGATCCGGACCAGTCTGTGATTTTGGACTTTTTCACCCAAGTTGGAGGTCATTAAAAATCGTGATAAAAATTATGAGTAAACTAAACACATTTTTTGAACTCTCAGAATTTACGGATCTAGCTTTCGACTCCGTATGATTTTTCCAAAACAGGACAGAATGGCTAAAGTTAGCCAACAACATGTAAATATCATAACACTTTGTATTATTTTGAGCAAAGTGTATAATCATAAGTTCTAATTACCGAATGTGTTTCCTTGTTAGTTTGTCATCATGAACTGAAACTAAGTAATTCAAAATAAATATTAATCATTCATTTTAGAACACGTATATTAAACTATAAAGGTATAGTTTGATAAATTCATAACACTAATACATTTTCATAAAAGAGTTCATACATATTACATTAATTTTAGATAAACTATAATAGGTATAGTTTATGATACATCACTCAACACACTCGTACAAAAAGGGTACATTCATACAAGAAATATTTATATTTACACACATTTCACGTAAACTTGTTAACCTATATTGTGAGACTCTCTCTCTCTCCCCGTACGTCCGAGTGCTGGATATAATTCCTGGTAGTTATAATCAGAATCTCCTTGAGGGAGAACTTGATACTTGTATATAAATCTATATTGGGTTTGACACCCCACACCTTGCTGCTAGCTACAGTGGGACCTGCAGGTCTACGGGTGACAAATGTCATTTCAGTTTTCGCAACGCCTGAGAACGTCGTGGCAGGTTCACATAGTCATAGTATGATTATAGCGACTCACATAGGGATATAACAATCCATAAGTTTACGGGATTTTATTTTTAAAACCAAAATGAGTTTTATGTCGATTTAAAATCACTTTTTATCTCTATGAGTACAGATATTACTGTACACTTTTGGTTTTGGTAGTTACGACTACACATCATTTGAAACCACATTTATACCTTTAAGTATGGTCAATACTTGTTATTATTCGGTCCTCTAATTTAGGACTACATATATATAAAGTATTAACAAACATGAGAACATACAGAAATTTCATTTAATTCAAACGCGTCCATGTCCATTTAAGTACATAACATTTTCTGTTAATAAGAAAGGTTACTTATACATTTTGGTATTCAGTCATAAGACTACATTACACAAACTTTAAAGAAAATATCGGATTTTCTGGATACATATTCTAACGCTTTTACAAGGAAAACGATTTACTTTTCTAACGAAATCTCTTATGAACTCACCAACCTTTGTGTTGACACTTTTCAAAACTACTTGTATTCTCAGAAATTCAATGAAAACAGGAAATCAACAACGTTTTTTGAGGATGGGACGATAAATCGTCAAACAGTTCATTTTGTATCATAATGTAATTGATGTGAATCATGTAAACATGTGCTTTGATGTAACGTTTTCAATTATATTTGTGTTGGTTGTATTTACTTTGAGCACTATTATACTCATTGTTGTGATAGTCTACATGAAGTCCTCCACCCCCGGACGTTTCCGCCATCCTTGGTTTGGGGGTGTGACAAATATAAATTTTTTTGCATTAACTATAATACTATTTATCTTAAAAACACATTCGACTACAACCTTGATATTTTTATACTTGGACAAGGCTTAAAAACATGTTGGGCCACATACTTACATACATAACATTTTATTTTATAAATAATTTGAATCAAAAACATTATAAACACAATTTTGTATCATAGCATAAGTGGATCATAAATTACAATATAATGGTGATCATTAAAAAATTTATACAAATAAATTTTAAACATAAAACAAACAAACATACTTATATAGACTTACTTAGGCATCATTATAAACCAACATTTCTTTCATAGCATAAGTGTATCATAGTTTACCATATCATGGTGATCATCTAAAACAAAAAATAAAACATTCATTTAAATTCTAAACATAAAACAAACAAGGATACTTATATAGTCTTCCTTATGAAATCACATAAAAACAAAAATATTTTCAAAAACAGACACATCAAATAATCAGAGAAAACCTATTTCTTTAGCTCTGCCTTCAACTTCATGTAAATGACTTTCAGTGTAAATCTTCTCCTCTTGTAGCTTGATAGATTATCATAATCCTCAAGAGTTGTAACAAAAGAAGCTTTGCACAAATTCATGTCTGACAACAACATCTTACAGACATATTGCTTCTTCATTTCAGACAATTGTATCTTTTGATTGGTACACTCAGACAGAAAATCCGCATCTAACTTCTCCGCTCCACCACCACGATAAACTTCCATGTGTTTCATCACAAATAACCCACAGTCAACAACATTGTCTTTAGTCTGCTAGTCCATTTGAAACCTTTCCATCTTCATTATTTTGAATGAACTGACTCTAGGATGATCCAAAATAGTCACATACTGTCTAAACATTGTCTTCTGCATAAACAATTTTTTTATTAGTATAATAAACAAAACAAAAAAAAATAAATATAAAACAAAAGTAATAATTACCAATCAAGAAAACTTCGATATTTTGTAGCGATCCCTCATGTAGTCACGTTGTTATCAATCATTTCCATCTTTCCATTGATTAAATAAAAAACAATCAAAAAGCAATGTTCTATCCTAAGAATAGGAAAGAATACCTGTTGAAAAAATAAGATGTTAAAAAGTAATATATATATATATATATATATATATATATATATAATTGAAATAACAAAATATTAAAATAATTAATTAACATACCAAATTAACACGTAAACTTTTAACATGGGGAAACTTTTCCAAATGACTTTGAATTCTATCTACAAATCGTGCATTAATACTATCCGTCTTCTTGAAAACAATATTTATCTAACAAAATGAAAAAAATTAGAAAATATAAAATATAAATAAAAAAATATAAAAAACAATACTAATCATACCATAAGTAAGCATGGGATAAAAACCTTGAAGGAGTAGTGTGACCTTTATATTTTTCCAAATCATTCAGAAAAGCAGACCATAAATCAATAAGACCTCTGTGAATCCTACAACCCGGTATGAGAGACTCCATCACTGATCTTATACCAACAAATCCGTTGGTAGATTCATAAACTTTTTCCCTTGAAAAATTAAGATTATAAAAACATATACTAAACTTTTAAGATATAAAAATTAAGATAATAAAAAAACACTAATAAGGAAATACCTGGGATTACGCATAGCCAAAAACAAAGAACCCGCAACCCTTTCTTCCAAACGTGAAACGTGTTTAGTTGTATCACCTTCTTTTTTAAGATAAGGTGAACAAAGTGCTAAAGTAGGTTGTAGATCTCTTTTTGGTTTACCTGGCTTGGTATTGATGTTATAAGACTGAATTGGTATTGGAGAAAAAAATGATAGGTTACTTAATCTTCTCTATAGAGCTATTAAGAGGAATATGATCATTTGGAGTTCTTAAACTTGCATCTAAACCAATGTATGAATCCAACAAATTCCCCTTAGACATATTTTCAACTACCCCTACATGTTTGAATCCAACAACTTCACCTACAATGCTTGTAGAAGATTCACCAATAAACAAAGCATGATCTGAACAAATAAGAGAAGGCTTTCCTAAATGGTTTGAAATAATAGCATCAAGATCATGAAACTTATTTGAAATAGTTAGATGGCTCAATATTATGCTTGCATCAATATTATGATCTTCTAAAACTTCATTTGAATTCATTAAACACCTCCAACTGTTCCTGAACCCTAAGACGATCCAAAAATTGTGTCATTGACAGTTGATCAAGTTGAACATCTCTTAACTCCTGACAAAGCGGAACATCTTCATTTTGTTTTTCAACATTCAAAAAATCCTTGGAAACTTCAACCTTCTGATTTACTTCTGGACCATAAGATAATACAATATTTTGATGAAGTTTATTAAATTCAACATTTCTTTTATCAACATACTCCAAAATCTCTTTGTTGCCTGGGAACTGATTCAAAGAACTATTAATTAAACAAAAAATCAAACGTCTCCTTAAAATCCTGAAAAATAATATTAAAATCAACAGAAGATAAAAAATGATCAAATATAATATGATTCAAAAACATAATGCAAAAACATATATACCTCTAAATTCTTTGAACCATAAAAAATAATATCAAATCGAGAAACAAAGGACTGCTATCCATCCAATCTTCATTCACATTATAATATTTATCAAAAAAAAATCAAAATATATATTAAAAACTTACAAAAAAAAAACTTACCATCATTTCTCATTTCATCATCAATTATGTTCTCTTGAACAAACTTCTTTCATTTATTAACATTATCCACAAAAACATGAAGTGATTCAAAATATAAAAGTAAATGCAAATAAACAAATAAAAAATAAATAAAACTTACCATTATCTCTCACTTGATTCTCTTTTGTGTTATCTTCAACAACTTATTTGTTTTCTTCATCCTCTTTCATCTTTTTATTTTCCGTTCTTCTTCTCAAAATATTAGTAAGATTAATGTGTTCTTCATCTACAAATATAAAAAAAATTATTAAATTAAAATATTAAAAAAACAATTAAATAAGATTATAAAAATAAAAATATTTCATATAAATGAAAAAAATATAAACTTGCTTCTATTTCAGAATCTTTAACTATTGCATCATCAACAAAATCTTCATATGTTTGAATAACTTCAAACTTTTTCATAACCTCCACCACTAAATGTTTCTTTCAATTTATCTTTAACTTTAATTGGAAACCAATAAGATGATGTAGGATATACCATTTCAAATAACTCTGAAGATGACTTTGTGCAATGAAGATACAATAACTACATATCATGAAAATAAAATAATTAATAATTAAATTGAGAAAAAATAATTCAAAAAAATATAAAATTTAAGCTTACCACTAAAAACGTAACAGACCAGTATATTAATGATTCTTGACATGAATTGAATTTCATTAAAATTTCAACAACTTTTTGCTATGATTTAAACAATCAATTAAAAAGCCACGCCAATCAAGATCTTTAATGGACACTTCATCAAAATTTTCTAAAAAATTTTGGTTGCATGTACCCATAGATGGACCATCAACCATGATGGTCACGTACGCAACCAAAAAGTTCAATAAAAACATGAAACCTAAATCAGTGCTTTTTTCTAAGAGCTCTATGAGATTAGGAAGCCTAATCCTAGAAATAGAAAACTAATTCCTCAAGTTTTTAATAATAGCAATCCCATAACGACTTTTCTTAGGAATTTTCATAGAAATATCACCCATTGGAAGTCCATATATGTCATGCACACCTCTCCTAGTAATATGAATATAGTTATTGCTGATACAAAGAACATTTTTCTTTTCATCATATCTCTCAAGAACCCACAAACAGATTTCCCTAGAAAATTTTTTAACCACAAAGTCTTCAAAAAATCAAAACCCTATTCCCTTAAAAACATCTTCCTGATTATCATTAAGGATTCTGTATATACTAGATATTAAACCTAGAGGACAACATTTTTAACATTTACTTGACCGATAACATGAGCATAAACAAAATCATCATCTTCCTTTGGACTTTTAATGACTTTGGAAACCTTATTAACTTTTATAATTTGACTGATGAAGTTCCTTTAGAAGAAGATAAAATATCTACAAAAGACTTGGACCTTAATGAAGCCTTTCTATTAGGAAAAAGATAAACAATATTGTCTTTTGCATCTTTTTGAAGAGCTAATCTCTTCATTTTCTTTGATTCAGCTACATATGAATAAAACAAATAAGAAAATGATGTTAAAAAGGAATTAGAAATATGAAAACAAACATTAACAAATAAAAAACAATTGTTGTAAATGATTCTTATCACTACAATGATTATAAAATATAATTTCTAACATGAATAATAACTTAACTTATCTTGGATAACAAAATAAACATCTACAATCATATTTATGACTGCTAAAACAAACAAATATGAATTCCTTAAACGTATATAGATAAGAACTACCTTTTTTTTGGATAATGCTAGAAACAAAGAATCAATATATGAAAAGAAAGCAAATAATAAAAGCACACTATATACATACAAACTATAAACAATAATAAATATATGAAAACCAAGCCATACAAACACATAAAGTAGACAACATAAAACAAATACTAACATAACAAACTAAAAATTGATATTAAAAACAAACAGATAAACATGCAAATTTGATAAAATTATATTTACATAAACAAAAAAATGATATCAAAAAGTGACAATATCAAGTAAACTAACAATTTCGTAAACGATAAACAATAAATTGAACTTCAAATACTTTCATTAACAAAAAAAAAAAAAAGCAAGTAGAGAAAGACAAATACATCAAAGAAAGTATAAATAGTTCAATTAAAAAAACAACGATATCAAAAAGTGACAATAGCACATAATCTAATGATTACAGCAACGACAATCAATAAATGGAACTCAAAACACATTGATTAACAGAAAATCGAACCAAAAAACACAGACAAAGACGAATACATAAAATATATCAAAAAGTGACAATATCAAGTAAACTAACAATTTCAGAAACGATAAACAATAAATTGAACTTCAAATACTTCCATTAACAAAAAAAAACAAAAAAAAAAGCAAGTAGAGAAAGACAAATACATCAAAGAAAGTATAAATAGTTCAATTAAAAAAACAACGATATCAAAAAGTGACAATAGCACATAATCTAATAATTACAGCAATGACAATCAATAAATGGAACTTAAAACACATCGATTAACAGAAAATTGAACCAAAAAACACAGACAAAGACGAATACAGAAAATATAGCAAAAAAGAAAAAAACTGGGGTTTTGTAATAATTAAAAAAAACTGAATCAATGACAAATAATCGATGAATCTGAACAACAATATAGCAAAAACTAACAATAAGGACTTTGATTATACATAAAGAAATCAAACTCGAACTTAATAACATGAAAACTAAAAAACAAAAGTGTACCTGCTTTCATAAGATCAACACAGGAACTGCGAAGATTAAACACGATGATTGAAAGAGTATTACGATTTCGAACGACATGATTATACTATCGATGCTTGAGGATTTGATACACTAGAACAACGAAGAAGAATGAAGAAAATGGGGGGGACAACGAAATAAAACGGTAACTAGGGTTTATTTTTTCAAACGACGATTGAGCCCTCAAAACAATTAACCCTCGACGGAAAATGGCAAAAAGTTCATTATAATTTCAAAAATGTCACTGCCATTTTTATTAAAAATACAACTAAATCAAAAAAATCATAACCATTAAATTTTTTAGATGGAGGGCCATGATTAGTCCTCACAGTCCTCACACACACACACACACACTCACCTCATGTCTTAAGAATTAAGATAAATGGAAATGAGGAGAGGCTTGAGAATTTTACCGCATTTTTGTAAGATTTTTGTTGGATTTTTGCGGAATTTACAGTGGAGGACACATCACCATTGATCTAAGTGCTTGCGTCTCCTCATATTTTCTTTAGTTTTTTTTCCCTCTCTTTTGCTATTTTTTTCCACTTTCCTTATTTTTAAAGATGAGTCAGGGCTATCGAAAACGTTTGAAGAGACATTTGTACTCCACTCCCTAGTTTTCTTCGATACATCTCCCGATACCACCGTTTCCCTTTTATAACTTTCTTCTTCCACACGTTTCAAAAAATTTGACTCTCTCTCTTATTCTGCTTCTTCTATCTTTCCCTCTATCTCAAGAAAAACCTAAGGGGTCACAACCCCCACCGCACATACGGACCACCACCACCATTGGCCATCATCACCTCTGCCATTGCACCACACTATCAGTGGCGAAGGACTTAGATTTTAAGGAAAGTGGGGTGGTGAAGATTAATGAATTTTTTTTGAGGGTTTTATGTTTAATTTCTTGGATTTTTTGGGATTTTGCTTAAGAACTATTTATGCTTCTCACTTCTATAATTTTTTAGTAGCAAATGCTTCCCTCCTCTCCTTTATCCAGAAAAGCTTCCTTGGATCTTTTCTTCCCTCAATCGAAGGTGTCGCTACCATTTCCTTTTTTCCTTTCCTTTCTATTTTCGCTAGAACCTTACTTCGGTATTTTTTTGCGGTCATTTAGAACTCGACCACTTAGTCACTCGTCAGATTAATGAAATCGTGTGTGTAAACGTTATTTCGTGAGCTCAAGCTTCAAATTTTAACAAATTAATGGTGAAATAAAGAAATTTTAATAAATCAATAACATGTGTAGCAACCGTGTGTGTGAGGTTATCCAGCGTTGATGACAAAATTGTTTCGATTTTGATTTTTATTGTTTTTCTTTTCACATAATTACCTTCGATTTCCATTTATTTACCGAAATTCTCTGCTGGGTTTTTGTAACACTCTATTTATGGTATGTATTTAAAATCATAATTTATGCACTTTTATAGAGGAACTCGACGAGTTGGGAGCCCAAACTCGTCGATTAGGAATTATTTGGGACACGGGTTAAGAAACCTAATCGACGAGTTGAGAGGCCTCAACTCGATGAGTAGGGTGGCAGAAATGAAACCCTAATTTCCATGGTTTTGCGCCCTATTTAAAGACATTAATGCTTCATTGTGGCCTCCCTCAGCATCCCCTAATTCCAGAGCAAACCCTAATCGTGCCACTTTACCCGTTTTGAGCGTGAGTGAGCCTTAAGAGTGTTCTTTGGTGCTTTTCTTGA